ATATATATATATATATATATATATATATATATTGTCATTTAAACACAAACATTAAATTGAAACACCTTTAATTTATAAAGGATAATGCTAAAAAGTAGAAAAGTAGAATATATTTTCTAAATATTTTAATGTATTTTTAAATATTTATTAACACACTTTTTTATTTAGAATTATTTCTATGAAATTCCTTTCTATTTCTATTATAGATTTGATTTTCTAAAAAATGTCGACTTCCAACAATAAAAAAAAAATTTGGCGACCCAACATTTTTACTATCTTATTTTAGAAGAACTTACAATACATGCCAGTTTTAATGCATATTTTATAAATTAGTAATTAAATACCTTTTTTTCCATTTTTCATTGAATGAACCGGGCGTGGTAGACGATAATATTCAATTTGACGGCTTCCCCGTATAACTCCTCGTCCTATAGGAATTGGTGCATCGCCTAAACAATAATTCCATTCTTAAAATCATCAAAAAAAGTTTTAGTAATTTACTTGTCTACAAAATATTTACTAGTTACTATTTTTTCTATTCCGCGCTGAATTTGTTCCACCTATAATGAAATGTAGCAGTATATTAAAATAAATATTATTTATTTGGTAGTAATAATTAAAGCCCAGATTTTATACAAAAATTTTGGAAAATATGTCCATAAATATGCATGTAAATTATAAAATAATATATATAGAACCTATGTATAATGAAACGCTAACGTTTTTAATTAACATTATCCTAGCTATGTTATTAAAGAATAAAATCAGATTTGATAAAATCTGGACCTTAATAATAATAAATTCAATTTTTACAGCTCACCCCAGGTGGATCAGAAGGTCGTGGATCTTGCTGTACTGTGTTTACAGGACAAGGATTTCTTAAAGTGTGTGGAGGTCTCGATGGACTTAGATATCCTGGAGAGTTTTGAGGACCCCTAGGACGTGAAGAACCTGAAGGACGTGGATATTGTTGAAAGTTTTGTGGAGGTCTCGATGGACTTAGATATCCTGGAGAGTTTTGAGGACCCCTAGGACGTGAAGAACCTGAAGGACGTGGATATTGTTGAAAGTTTTGTGGAGGTCTCGATGGACTTAGATATCCTGGAGAGTTTTGAGGACCCCTAGGACGTGAAGAACCTGAAGGACGTGGATATTGTTGAAAGTTTTGTGGAGGTCTCGATGGACTTAGATATCCTGGAGAGTTTTGAGGACCCCTAGGACGTGAAGAACCTGAAGGACGTGGATATTGTTGAAAGTTTTGTGGAGGTCTCGATGGACTTAGATATCCTGGAGAGTTTTGAGGACCCCTAGGACGTGAAGAACCTGAAGGACGTGGATATTGTTGAAAGTTTTGTGGACCTCGTGGGCGAGGAGGTCCTCTTGGTCCCATTTGTTCACATGACTGTTGTAGACGACTGCGTCCTCTACCCCTTGGTCTAGCAGGAAGGTCCATGTTTAAGTTCTATACCTGATAAAAAATTTTATTCTTTGAAACTTCGCTAACAGCTAATTAAAATATTTAACATTAAAATAATAATATTGTAAGTGTTTAAATGAATATATATAAAATAAGTATTTTGAAATTTAACTAATGTACAAAAACATTAAAGTACAACACTAATGCGCATTATTGTTGTGAATAACGAAAAAAAAAAAAATTTCAAATACAAAAAATATACTTTGTAGAAAAAGTTATTTTCTAGCAGTAATTATAAAAAAACATTGTAATTATTATTGTTTTACAATTCTAAAAATATTTTTTTTTTATAAGTTAACTCGTGTATTATTTTCATTATCACAGAATGTTTAGAAAAAGCTTATAGATTGAGAAAAAAATATTGTGAAACTGATTATAGAACTGTCTGCTCCACTGGAAATTGATCAACTTATAAACACAAAACTCTTATTATATATGGGATGAACAAAAAAAACTATGACTAAAAATTTTTAAACATTAAAGTAAAAAAACAAATAAAAACAAATGGTAACACAGTGGGGTCTCGGCATAGCTGGGACAAGTAAAGATGATATCTGACAGTAATTAAAATCACTATTATATGAAACAATTCAATGCAAACCAGAAGATAGTTTTCAATTTTAAGAATTTGGTGGGTTATTCCAAAAGCAAAATAATCTCCTATTTCCTAGGACGGCGAATATGACTTATTTTAATTTACACATTATATCAAGTTAGTTAAAAATATATGCAGACATATATTTTCAAACATATTGAAATTATTGAATATTTGAAATAATAACACAATTTTGCTCAAATAATCAGGTTGTTTTATTTTATAACATATATATCTATACTGAATAATTACCTATCATATCAGTCTTAATTTAATACAAAAAAAAATAATAATAATAATTTACGATAAAATTAATTTAAGAATTGGTTAAATAATTAAATACTAGGCTCCATCTATCTGTAACTTTGTTCCAAACTTGGAAATATTCGGGCTGTCCTTAAGGGTATGGTATCACATATTTTGATATGATTACCCGGCCACGCCAGGCATGATATGTTTTTTACACAAAACGTGTTGTTTCACAATTAATATAACATTTAATTATTAAAATGAGTAAAATTTAAAGTGTCAATACTAAAATATAATAAGTATACGGATGACTTTTGGTTCCGAAAGGAATCACAAATAGTACAATAATATTTAAATTTTAACACTATCTTTGATATAAACTATATTAATAAAATTGTGTTTTGAAGTTATAGGCTATAATGTGTTACTATAAAATAGAATTTCATATTTATGTTTCCAAATAAACTAATTATACTATACTCAATGTAGAAACCAAATACGTTAGTATTACTACTCCAAAAATTCAGATAATTAGAAAAACATATTCTATAACATAATAACTTGATGTTTTGATGTCTTATTATATGACCACGAAAAATAAAATACAAATGTGTATTCAAAAATACACTTGAAAATAACCTTAAATTATTATTTAACGTACAACAGGTTTAAAAAAATTTTTTACAATTATTGATATTAAAATTTTTTTTTTATTAGACATAAAAGACCGCGGCAGCTCTGGCCATTGGTCTGTTAGTAAATTACATAAGATTTGTAAATACCTTTTTTTAAACAAACAAAATAATTTTGTTATATTTGTGTTACTTTATATAAATATACGTATGTATCACAATTACTGCGATACGTACATACAAAATAATAGTATCCAAACAAAAACTACGTGCATGGACTTTTGGACCGATAATGAATTTTTGGATTCCAAAAATCTAATGGATGACCATTAGCATGGAGATTACAAGTCAAAAAGAAAAAATCGATTTCATAAAGAAAAGTAGCACAAAAAATTTAGGCAAATGTTGAAATGTTGAGAGTCAAAAAAAAAACAAACTTACAACTCGATTTAAAACCAATAAATTTCAACGAAATTTACTTTTGGAATGCCTTTAGATGGGTAGTAATAATTTCAGGTTTTAAATAAAAATATACTAGCGGGCATAAGCGTTTCGACAAAACACTCACGGAGTGCTAAAAATGTTTGTCTATTTATCGCAATAATTTTCCCTGGATAATGCCGTCGAGCTCTTTCATAAAAAAATTGGAAATCGTTAAGTAATTTTTCCAGCATTGGCTAATTTTTCAATGTGTTATACAGAATGTTCAGTAAAAAAGAAACAGGTCAATTGTTACAAAAAACGAGAACATACAAATCTATTTTCTTACTTACTGAACACTCTGTATAATAAGATTAATGCATACAGGAATAGATCTAGAATTTTTCTTTGAGTAAAGATGCTAAGAAAAAAAATTTCTGGCTGCAACCTTATTGAGATTTTTAACTACAAAATATGCTCATGTGTTACAAATATTACACTATGTTTGCATTATTTATGAAACGTTTTATTAGGCTATATTTCAAAACCTATTTTTTCATCGAATGGTCTATATCATCGCATGATTTTAAGTATAAATATTTTTCAAAATTAAAACTATATAATATTTATAATATAGTTTTAATTTTAAATATTAGCCACAAGTGATCAATATTTACTAAATAAATATTTTATTATCAATAATCTTACAAAATGGTTGGATTGATTTGAAATAAACTTTATACTTTAATATACAGAGTATTTAATAAGTTCAATCCTATTGTATAAGGATAGAAAGCTACCTTAACTTAAGAAATTTAAAAGGCTATCAATACTTCCTTTTTGAATCATGGGTTAGTTAAAAGCATCAAATTTAAGCTTGGTGCACTTTTTGTCACAGTAAAAACTAATCACTTTGTGATTATGTAGATACAATAATCATAATCTGCTTGATTATTGTTGCTTAATGATTGCATCTAAGCATATAACAATCAATAAATATTGTTAAATATTTAATTTGTTATGTCAAATGTAGAATATAGATATCTTGAATTAAAAAGGAATGTCAGATTTGGCTTTGGAGACTTTAAAAACATGTAAATTGATATATAACAATAAAAAATGTATTACCTATTTCCTCTAATTGAGGAGTCAATAATAACAGTAATGCCAGATTTGGATATAACGGCATAAAAATCCCTTATACTCAAACATAACAAATAAAAATAAATAAAATTTTAGGAATTATCAGTTTATTAAGCTAATTTTCATTTCAGACCAGTGTGTCGTTTTTCATAAGCAACTTGAATTATACAAAATAAAAAAACCTAGCACAGGGGGTCGCGGCACAATGGTGACGAGGCATAGTTAGATGAAATATAATGATATCTGACAGTTGTCATAAAAAAAAGTAAGAGAGTAAGGAAGAAAATTATAAGATGTATATTTTAGAATGGTGAAATACAAGAAATAATTTTTGTCATAAAAAAAGTGACGAGAGGATAAATAAATTGAATATAAATATAGAAATAGAATATAAAATTTATGGTTAACGGAATGTTGAAGTTCGTTTAGCTATAAGATGAAAATAAAACTAAACGGTATATAATCATGAATTCTTTGTTAAGATACAACGACCACACATGTTTTGTCGTAAAATGTAAATCGAAAGAAAATTACATCTGTATGACGCAAACCTGAATAATATTAATTCTACAATGAAATGTGCAATGATTATGAGGGAGAATTTTACGACTCTTAATATTTATTGGTTATGCTATAAAAATAAGAAACATTGTGTGTTCACGTCAGCGGCGTACCAATAGGGTGACAAGACGGGCAGTGAGCCACGGGCCCATGACTCAAGGTGGCNGGAAAATTACATCTGTATGACGCAAACCTGAATAATATTAATTCTACAATGAAATGTGCAATGATTATGGGGGAGGATTTTACGACTCTTAATATTTATTGGTCATGCTATATGAATGGGAAACATTGTGTGTTCACGTCAGCGGCGTACCAATAGGGTGACAAGACGGGCAGTGAGCCACGGGCCCATGACTCAAGGTGGCCCGGTAGGAAATGTAGCAAATCCAAAAAATAAATCACCAATATAACAATAATTAAAAATTTGATGATTTAAAAAACTTTGTTCTACAAAAATGAATTGTTAAAATAACTATTACTATTATTATAACTATACTATATTACTATTCAGAATATACGATTATGTTATACGTAGATTATTTTATCTAATAGCTCGTCGACACTTGGAATATTTCATAATAATTGTGGAACGAAAATAACATTAAAACGTATTGCAATCATGTGATTAGAAACTAGGCCAGTGAATTTATATTTAGAACAGTATTACCTCTCGTCCAAGAAATTGTATTGACTACTGTCAATTTGTAACCACTATCACTTTACACGATTTTCATTCAATTATTTTATATTTATTATTAGTCAAAGTGTGTCGTCTCTCCTTGATCGATTTCGCTTTCGTACTTACCAGTGAATCGTGAATAATTTTGTAATCATGTCAAAAAAAGTTAAAGTTTTAAAGTTAGATTTGCTGAAATTTAAAAAGCTTTAACAAAAGTAATATTTTGCAGCTCTAAACCAGATGAACGAAATGAAGCTCAGGGATTAAAAAACAGATAGAAAATTATAGCTTTATTTGTACGTTAGTTTTTCAATGTAAAATTTTACAAATACTATACCTAACTTCAAAAACTCTACAAAGTCAATCGATTTAGACAACGCATCTAATTTATTAAAAAACTGTTACGAAAATTTAAAAGAATACCGATGTAATTTTAATGATCTCTTAGAAGAAGTAAATATGATTGCTAAAAGTTGGTTTATCTCTGTGAAAATATATTTTGATGAACTTTGTACCGATCAGAGTTTAACTTGTCCTGAAAGTTTATTTCGGGTAACTATTTTTTATCGAACGTTGGATATATTAATAAATCAAATTAATAAAAGTTTTACAAGTTTTCATGAACTAACACAATGTTTACGACCATCTTTTTTAACATCACCAACAGATTTAGAACTTTTAAACGAAGCTACAAATTTAGTTAATAAATACAATAAAGACATATCGAAAATACTTACAAGTGAAATATTAGCTGTAAGATCCACTCTTAAAAATGAAATAAGTAAACTTATTTCAATTAGAGATCTTGCTCAGCTTTTAATGGTTAAAAATCATTCATTAACAGTGAGTTTCCCAGAAGTATGCACAGCTCTATTATTATTTTTTGACAATTCCTTTACATCTGCAAGCGCGGAACAGTCATTTTCCAAGCTAAAAATAATAAAAGGATATTTAAGGAGTACTAAGACGCAAAATCGTTTAGGTGGCTTGGCATTACTTTCAATCGAATAAGAAACCGCTCGAGAGGTTAACTTCGAGGATTTAATCGATACGTTTGCTGAAGCAAAAGCAAGAAAGAAAAAGTTTTGATATAACTGAACAAATTCCTTTAAATATAAATTAAATATTTGTAAGATAGTAAATAGGTACTATGTTTATGTTATTTAATTCAAACAAAATGTGTAATAAGAAGTGATATTATTATAAGTACACTTATTATGTTTTTAATTATTTATAGCTTATTATTAAGAGTGGATCTAGAGATAAATATTGTGGATGAGTAAAAAAATAAACAAAAGAGAGCACTGACTTTAATCTACTTGTTTATTTTATAAGATTATAAAAATGATTAAACTTGAAATATTACTTCACTGTGATTCCTTTCTATACCTGGTGTCTGAATATATGTATGTTTTTTTATATTTTAAAATGAAAATTTATATAACCAGATAGATTATGAGAACCAATCCCTAGTGACACGCCATAAACTATTGTTTTACGAATAGTTTTAACCACTTGATGTGCTAAGGTAGAATTTCGAAATGCACTTATTAAATAGACAATCCATTTGAGGAATTAAAAAAAATTCTTAATTGGAACAACTCACAAAATACAAAATAAAAAAACGGTAGCACAGTGGGGTCGCGGCATATTGGAGACATTACATAATTAGGTTCAGTATAGATTTAATCTGACAGTGATTAAAATCACTATCATAAGAAACGCTTCGATGCAAATCTGTAGATAGTGTTTAATTTTAAAAAATTGATGGATAATTGCAAAAGCAACATCAACTTCTATTAAAATAAAATACAAAACCCATAATTATCATACAAAAATAGTATATTTTTCAATATGGTAGCCATTTGCGNTAGCAAATCCAAAAAATAAATCACCAATATAACAATAATTAAAAATTTGATGATTTAAAAAACTTTGTTCTACAAAAATGAATTGTTAAAATAACTATTACTATTATTATAACTATACTATATTACTATTCAGAATATACGATTATGTTATACGTAGATTATTTTATCTAATAGCTCGTCGACACTTGGAATATTTCATAATAATTGTGGAACGAAAATAACATTAAAACGTATTGCAATCATGTGATTAGAAACTAGGCCAGTGAATTTATATTTAGAACAGTATTACCTCTCGTCCAAGAAATTGTATTGACTACTGTCAATTTGTAACCACTATCACTTTACACGATTTTCATTCAATTATTTTATATTTATTATTAGTCAAAGTGTGTCGTCTCTCCTTGATCGATTTCGCTTTCGTACTTACCAGTGAATCGTGAATAATTTTGTAATCATGTCAAAAAAAGTTAAAGTTTTAAAGTTAGATTTGCTGAAATTTAAAAAGCTTTAACAAAAGTAATATTTTGCAGCTCTAAACCAGATGAACGAAATGAAGCTCAGGGATTAAAAAACAGATAGAAAATTATAGCTTTATTTGTACGTTAGTTTTTCAATGTAAAATTTTACAAATACTATACCTAACTTCAAAAACTCTACAAAGTCAATCGATTTAGACAACGCATCTAATTTATTAAAAAACTGTTACGAAAATTTAAAAGAATACCGATGTAATTTTAATGATCTCTTAGAAGAAGTAAATATGATTGCTAAAAGTTGGTTTATCTCTGTGAAAATATATTTTGATGAACTTTGTACCGATCAGAGTTTAACTTGTCCTGAAAGTTTATTTCGGGTAACTATTTTTTATCGAACGTTGGATATATTAATAAATCAAATTAATAAAAGTTTTACAAGTTTTCATGAACTAACACAATGTTTACGACCATCTTTTTTAACATCACCAACAGATTTAGAACTTTTAAACGAAGCTACAAATTTAGTTAATAAATACAATAAAGACATATCGAAAATACTTACAAGTGAAATATTAGCTGTAAGATCCACTCTTAAAAATGAAATAAGTAAACTTATTTCAATTAGAGATCTTGCTCAGCTTTTAATGGTTAAAAATCATTCATTAACAGTGAGTTTCCCAGAAGTATGCACAGCTCTATTATTATTTTTGACAATTCCTTTACATCTGCAAGCGCGGAACAGTCATTTTCCAAGCTAAAAATAATAAAAGGATATTTAAGGAGTACTAAGACGCAAAATCGTTTAGGTGGCTTGGCATTACTTTCAATCGAATAAGAAACCGCTCGAGAGGTTAACTTCGAGGATTTAATCGATACGTTTGCTGAAGCAAAAGCAAGAAAGAAAAAGTTTTGATATAACTGAACAAATTCCTTTAAATATAAATTAAATATTTGTAAGATAGTAAATAGGTACTATGTTTATGTTATTTAATTCAAACAAAATGTGTAATAAGAAGTGATATTATTATAAGTACACTTATTATGTTTTTAATTATTTATAGCTTATTATTAAGAGTGGATCTAGAGATAAATATTGTGGATGAGTATATGTTTTTCGTATCCCCTTCCCTCAAATTACTAAAATTAAGGGCCCGATGGATTATTTTGCCACGGGCATTAGAAGTTCTTGTTACGCCACTGGTTCACGTAAAATGCAACTGTCCAATTGTTGCAATTGTTAATGTCTGAATTATTTTTTTTATATAGATGATAAATACAAATTAAAACATTTACGTTGAACGCATGCTATTACGATCAGAATGGTGAGTATATAGCTATTAATAATATCCCCTTTTTTTAAAAAAAATTATCTATCTGTATCAATTCTATTATTCCCTCGATAAAAGTTATTCTTGATTTACCTTAATTCTATTTTTAATTTTTATGACATGCTTAGAAACATAATTTCTTACCTTGTGTCCAGCTAGCTTGATCGTTTATTGTATAAAAAAAAATAAACAAAAGAGAGCACTGACTTTAATCTACTTGTTTATTTTATAAGATTATAAAAATGATTAAACTTGAAATATTACTTCACTGTGATTCCTTTCTATACCTGGTGTCTGAATATATGTATGTTTTTTTATATTTTAAAATGAAAATTTATATAACCAGATAGATTATGAGAACCAATCCCTAGTGACACGCCATAAACTATTGTTTTACGAATAGTTTTAACCACTTGATGTGCTAAGGTAGAATTTCGAAATGCACTTATTAAATAGACAATCCATTTGAGGAATTAAAAAAAATTCTTAATTGGAACAACTCACAAAATACAAAATAAAAAAACGGTAGCACAGTGGGGTCGCGGCATATTGGAGACATTACATAATTAGGTTCAGTATAGATTTAATCTGACAGTGATTAAAATCACTATCATAAGAAACGCTTCGATGCAAATCTGTAGATAGTGTTTAATTTTAAAAAATTGATGGATAATTGCAAAAGCAACATCAACTTCTATTAAAATAAAATACAAAACCCATAATTATCATACAAAAATAGTATATTTTTCAATATGGTAGCCATTTGCGTATAGAAGATAGGTCGTCGGGACAAATTTTTTTTTTNTATAGAAGATAGATCGTCGGGACAATTTTCTTTTTTCATTTTATAGTACATAAAATAAGCTTTAATTTTATACATGTTTAAAAGACGTAGTATTTCCGGAACATTTTCAAAAATTAAGTTGAAAAAGTTATTTTTTGTAAAAAAGTTACTATTTTAAATCCTCCCAGTGAGCAGAATAAGTGTTAGATTTTCAAAAAAAATTATATCAAATGAAAGGGAAATATCTAAGGTTTCAATACAAAAAAATATTATTTTTATTTGTTCATTTTTGAAAAAGTTATGGCAGTTTTAAGTACAAAAAACATCCCGATAAAATGTAATTTTTATCGCAAACATTACATTTTTTTTTGAATTTTCGACAGCCATTTGCACATAGAAGATAAGATGTCGGGACAAATTTTTTTTTTTCATTTGATAGTATATAACATAACCTTTGATTTGATATATGTTTAAAGGACGCAGTATTTCCGGAACATTTTCAAAAGTTCAGTTGAAAAAGATCTATGTTTTTTACAATATTTTAAGTTTTGAACGCCCCCTATATAAGGGGAAATTGTCCAATTTTAATAAAAAGTATGTCAAATGAAAGATGTACTTATAATGTATTTAGAAAAAAAAATTTGTGCTGATATATACATTTTTCAAAAAGTTATAGCATTTTTAAGTTGAAAATTTAAAATCGAAAATCGAAAATTTTAACACAAAAATAGTGTTTTTTTAACTACGGCAGCCATTTAAATGTAGAAAAAAAAGTGTCGAGACAAATTTTTTTTTTTCATTTTGTAGTACATAAAATAAGCTTTAATTTGATATATGTTTAAAGGACGCAGTCTTTCCGGAACAATTTTTTAAAATTAATTTTTGTAAAAAAGTTGCCATTTTAAATCCCCCCCAATGAGCAGGTTAAGTGATAGATTTTCAAAAAAATGATATTAAATGAAAGGTAAATATCTAAGGTTTTAGTATAAAAAAAAATTATATTGATTCGATCATTTTTAAAAAAGTTATAGCAATTTTAAGTAACAAATATTGAAAAAATATCGAAATATAGCGATTTTTAAATTTGTAATTTTTTTGGATATTTCCCCCATTTGCGGGGAACGAGGGAATTTTTTTCAATTTTTAAGGGTAATGTCTTCAACTAGATACGATTTGTGATCTTTTGACGTATTTTTGAAAGAAATCGGTCCAGTGAGAGCTGAGAAAAAGTGGCAACAGACATAAAAAAAAAAAAAAAACA